GGGGCAGTGGATTGTAGCGGCTCCACTAAAAGAGAAGTATTCCAAAGACCCTGTTGTCTCTGCCCTGATCTGCTCACAGTCCGGAGAGCCAATCGCTTTCTTGTCTAGGGGTTCAGGTTACACATAGGTAAGGGAGGTTTATCTGCAGCCCCTGCCAGCTCTCCCATGGTCCTTGTAAAGATGATAGGAGATAACAGCCTGAAGGGAGTTAGAGGTTATTAGAAGAAAGGCATTCTAGAAACCCAAAGTGTCCTGTTGAAGGCAGGGAAGGGATTTCGACTTTCTGTTTTTGCCCCATCCCTATCATTAATCTGCTACATTAAATGGTGCAGAATCTCATCAATGTGGATCCTCCCAGGAAGACCTGAGTTCAAATGCTACCCCTAACACTATTAGCTGTGTGACCCTGGGAGAGCCAGCTAAACTCTCTGGGCCTCAGTTTCTTCCTCTGTAAAATAAGGGGGCTAGACCAGAAGGCCTCTGAGGTCTTTCCAACTTTGGGTGGATGGTGCTAAGCTAAGCTGAGCTAGGAGGACTAAGTCTAGGTCCTCAGAGGTCCCTCCAAGCTCTAGGCACTGAATCTGTTGGCCTCAGTTTCCCCAACTGTAAAATGGGGATCATGATAGCACTTACAAGAGATATTTGCAAAGCACTTAGCCCAATACCTGGTATGCAGTAGGTGCTTAGAAAATGTTTATTCCTTTCCCTTCAGCTCTAACACTGATCCTTTGACCTGTAATGAATTGCGAATACTAACAATAGAAAGAAATCATTTAAAAAAAAACAACAAAAACCTAAGCTATGGCAGGTTATGAACAATTTATGAACAACTAGAGTCATCCAGATGCAAAGAAGACAAAAGGGGAAATACGCAGGATAACTCATCACATGGTTGTATATACTGTTTTCTACTGTCCCTCCTCTTTTTTTTTTTTTTTTGCTAGATAACCTTTCAAAAGATTGCAGAGCCACAGCAGGAAATATTTAATTAGAGAAGCTGAGGTCCAGACCAGTCCACATTTGCATATGCTAATCATTCCCGGAGGCATCTGCTCGCTGACCTGCCCTCCAGCCATCAGGCCCCAGGGCTACCAAGCCCAGTACATAGAAGTGGCAAAAAACTCTATGGTGCCCCCCCCCCCCCCCCACAGCTGGTCCTGGGAGGTCAGATGTTAGGAGCGGACGCAGCAGCCCAAGCTCCAGAAATAGCCCACCCTGGTGTTAGCAGTGAGACAGGCAAGACATGCAGTGGGAGGTGGGGCCCAGTGGGGGACGAAGGGGGCCAACTTTCAGAAATAGATTTAACTGGACTGAAGGAAAAGAGGCAGTAATCAATAAACCAGCCCGCTGGGGGCCAGCGCCTACAGAAAACCTTCATCGTGATAGTGGCAATGGAGAATGTCTCTTATCCTCAAAACGACCAATTCCAAAATCTATACTTGGCCACCGCCCCAGTTACCATTCTGGCTGCAGGTCTGAGAACCATGAGTCCGAGGGGATGGTTATGGGTCTGTGGCACCATGGGCTGGTCCTGCACCCTCTCTGAGCCTCATTTTCCTCATGTGTAAAATGGTGGAGATAGAGATGCAGGAGAAAGGGTGCTAGATTTGGGAAGGGACAGCCTGGGTTAGATTCCCAGCTCTGTTAGTAATGACTGGCTGTGTGGCCTTGGGCAAATGGCTGAGAGAGAAGAGATTACAGAGAACAGAGAAGAAGGAGGGGAGGGGAGAATGGAGAGAGAGAGGAGAGAGGGAAAAGGTGGGGAAAAGAGAGAAGAAGAAGGAGGGAAAGAGGGAGGGAAGGAGAGAAGGAAGGAGAGAGACACAGAGAAGGGAGGGAAAGGGAGGGAGAGAAAAAGAGAAGAAAAAGGAAAAGAGAGAAGGAAAGGGAAAGAGGGAGAGAGAGAAGAAAGGAAGGGAAAGCGGGGGAGGGACATAAAGATGAGAAAGGGAGAGTGAGGAGAGGAAGGATGGAAAGAGAGAGGGAGAGAGAAAAAGAGAGAAAGGGGAGAGAGAGAGAGAGAGAGAGAGAGAGAGAGAGAGAGAGAGAGAGAGAGAGAGAGAGAGAGATAGAGCCCCAAACCCCTCCTAGATTCAGGGCAAGATATGAAAGATATGAGGTGACTATTTCAGGGGCTGGCATGTGTAACTTGGTTTCAATGTCAATAAATTATAACCTTTCTGTGTATCCAGGACTTAATTATATCACAATAGGCCTGTCGCTTATTTCTTTTTGTCCCTTCACCATTCAGTCGTGGTCTGTGGCTCAGGACCAGTTTGCCCACTGAATGGATACTGACTTAGATGTCAGAAACCCTGACAAAGCCCCCACGCTGCTGCTTTTCTCATGGACTTTGTCCAGTCAGCAGGGAGGGAACTTCTCATTGTACCTAAGGCTCAATTCGTCCCTTGGTTTCCAGCGGCAGTGTTGCTGGAAGGAAGCAAACCCAAGGAGTTTTAGGTTTAAGGGACCCGATTATGGATGGACATTAGAATGGACTGATGCTGGGCATGGGAGCCTGGAAGGCCTGGGTTTGAATCCTTCCTCAGATACAGGATCATTCTGCCATGTTGGGTGAGTCACTTCCCTTCTCTAGCCTCACTTTCCTCATCTGTGAAATGAAGGCCTTGGACTAGATGATTCTTTCCATGTAGAAATCTAGGAACTCTGTGAATAAGAAGTGGCCTTACCCCTCACTACCTGGACATCACCTCACCTCTGTAGGCCTCAGTTTCCTCCTATGTAAAATGAAAGAGTTGGACTCCATCCCCTTGAGGGTCCCTATGATCCCGTGACTGATTTTGGATGGGCCTTAACTGAGGATAAATGGAAAA